TAGTAAGGCACTGCTAACAATAATCAACACTTGTCTCTCGAATATTCTTAGGAAAAAAAAACTTTTTTTAAAAAAAGAACACTGGAGCTAACATACCGGTATCATTTAAAAATATAAGATCCATGCCATGCAAGATCTGAGTCAAAACTATAGGGGCCTTGAATGAAATAAATGAGATGGGACATTCCTTATTTCAAATGTCTATCTGGATGCTACTGAAGATGTGATGACAGAATGCAAATTGTATGCAAATGTGAGGCTCATAAAAACCATTATAAAGTACAATGCCCTAGAAGAAGCGTAACAAACCCAAGAACGTGAGTGTTAACAATTGCCATCATTATTTCTATGTGTATTACCTCTGAGAGCCAGTCAAGGGCTGCAGGTATGGTGAGGCCTGCTGTTGAACGTAGCCACTCGGCTGCTGCTGAATCTGTCGGAGTCTTTCCATTAGTGCAGGGTTGGAATGTGCAGCTGGATAGGCTCTGGAGTTGTAGCTGGGAGACAAGACCATGCTGCCAGCCTGCTGCTGCGGCATCTGCTGCAAAGGCATCTGTGTTCCGTACATTGTATAGCCCTGGGGCATCGTCTGCAGGTAGGAACAAGGGAAGAAGTCAAAATTTACCAGCTTCCCATCGCTAAGATATATGAGGCAGAAAAAAACTATGAGGATCTCTCTGAAATTCACTGTTTTCAAAGGCTCTCATGACTCAAAATAGGAGGAGGACTACTCTGAAGGCAGAGAGTCTAAGCCCGAAAAGTATGGAAAGAACTGGTTGTATGATGATTCACCAGAAATGTCAACTTAAAAAAAAAAAATGCATCCTCGTTTGGTTAAACTGGCTTTTAATATCAGCTGCTTACTTTGAGGGAAGAAGGGCAAGTCTCTGTATAAAAATACTCAGGCAAGTATCTATACCTCCAATGTACAGATGACATCAATATTCAACAGGTCTTCAAGTGTCATTAATGTCATTTCCAAATTAGTCAGGAAAGCTACCTATGCTCAATGTAAATTAAAATAATGGAGTACACTTTCCTGATATGTGACTGCACCTCTCTGCGTCTGATGAATGTGTCTTTAGCAACTAACCAGTTACCAAAACAAAAAAACGAAAACACAAAAATAAATGATTAATACTTTAACCAGGAAGAAAGGTGCAACTGGTGACTGTTAACATTCTCTAGTCCTGGTTGAACCATAGCCCGTTCAGCACTCTACTGATGATCTGAATACTGAATTTTCCTATTGAATATTAATATACAAGTACATTAAATCTCAACAATCTCTAAATCTCAACACCTTATGTAAAAGAAAAACCTGAGGTTCTGTTGGATCACTAGATACAATTTGTGGAACAGAATGCTGATTGAGAACACTGTTCTTCCAATATTCAAAGCACCACATTTTAAGGTAGTTTAATGCATCTGACTTGGAAGACAGAGTGATAATGTATAATGAACTTCCAGCAGGCAGTATGCATGGATTCTGGCTGAAGGGCTCAGTCCCCTGTGGAAAACTCAGTTTTCCTTTAGCTCTGGACACAGAATAAATTGCTAGCCCCAACTAGCAGTGCTGCCAGCACTCCTGGGCTCCTGATCATAAGAAGTACAGGGTAAGAGCACATGGATGCAGAAGTAACACAATTAATCTCTGTTTTACAGAAGACACCGAAGCAGAGTAACCTGCACAATGTCACACAGCTAGTAAGCTGCCAGGACCTGTCCTAAGGTCTGATACGAAGGCCCATTATCTTCTTATTCTACCATGATTCCTCTTCAAAGTTATCTTTGAATGTGCCAGTTTTAATCATGAACTACATCATTATACATTATACATAAAGTAACTCAGATTGTTAAGCATTTCAATATCTACTTATAATCTATAAGTAACCAAGTTCTAGACCTATCGGAGTTGATCGCCTATTTACTTGGTTTTTCTCTTCAAATAAACAGCATCGAAAACACCAGCAGGACCCATGAAGCAAATGTGGGTACCTGTGCTTGCTGCAGCCCTGGATACTGAGGAAGCTGAGGGGAGGGCCGTGCTTGTGCAGCAAAGAGAGCAGCCTGGTCCCCTGGCTGGCCCTGGAAAACAAAGCCGAGGCGAACTCTTGATCATAACAGCAAGGGCTTCCTTTGAGCTTCTGGTCAATAATCCTAATAATGTGTGACATCAAATCTCATTACTGAATGAATCTAGAACACACAGATTTTCAAACTGCACTAAGTGCTATTTGTTATCAATTTCCTACATCTATAGACTGTTGAACTTTTCTTCTTAGAAGATTACAGATGTTCCCAACTATAACAGACATAAGTACCAGCCTAACTAATCAATGATCTGCTCAGCAGAGAGGCTGTTGCATGCCACTCCAGTACACTATAGGTACAAACGCTCCTCTAGAGCAAAAGGCATGAGCTTCTAAGTGTGAGATCTGGAACCACAGGGCCACACCCCCCAGTGCCCACAAAGGGAAGAGAACCTGTGATACATAGAAATGGCATATAAAAATTTCATGATTTTTTAATGAATTTCTTTACAGTGACCTAAAAATTTTGCCTATTTAGCCATGTATTTAAGGGATAAATTTGGTATTTCTATGACTCTAATAATTAATTCGAATATAGTCAATAAAAATTTATAAAAAGTTCATAACAAATACAATTCTAACCAACTACAATTGGTAAAATAAAACCAATTAATATCTGTTCACCAGTTTTAATTTAATAAATGTTTTGGCCTTAGGAAAATAAACATATTCATAACAGCAGCTGCATGTATGTTTTACATTCTGGTGGCAGAAATTATTTCATGGAAGCTTGCGGTAATAATCACAGAAAGAGGCCTAGCTTCCTAATATCCCTCCCCCCCCCCCCCCATGCACTAATTATAAAGAGCGGGGTTTATTGTAAGATTATTTTACTATTATTTTATAATAGATGTCCTCATTTTTAAAAGTGCTAAATTATAGTTACACAAAACTACTGGTAAGTTATGCAGATATTTGTAGCAAGGAGAAAGGGATAAACACTTAGCTTAAGAGGAAGAACACCAACAATTATTAAGAATCTATCATATGCCAGAGACTGGGTTTCTCATTCTCACTCCCACTTTCTCATGAGAACTCTACAGGGTGGGAACATCATACCTATGTGTTTCAGAGAGGAAAACCCAGGCCCAAAGAGCTTAAGCAAGTTAGCAAGCTCACCCAGCTAGACCCGGCAGAGCCATGATCTGAACTCTGGTGAGTCTGACTTCAAAGCTCAGGGCTCTTTCAATTATTACAAGATGCCTCCACATGCGATATTAGGGATGAAAATATGTAAACACTCATTGGTGCTTATTCTTTAAGGACATGTAGTCTCTTAAAATCACCCCTACAAGAAACCAAAAGGAAAATCTCTATTAAAACATATTAATGAGATACTGAAACCAAATGTACACATCAGGTTAAATACTTTTTCTGACCACCTTGTAAAATCACTTGGGGCCATGTATGAAACTTCAGCCTCTCCTAAAATGACTATTTATCCATACATGTGAAACACAAACTTCTGAGTGTACCTACTATGGTGTCTGTACATAACTTCGACAAGTTTCAACAAGAATCTAACTTTACAGAGTAGGGTACCATAAAGATACCCTCAGTCTTTAGCTCATTAATCTGTTAAATACAACTATCTTCTCATTTGCGTGGGCCTAAGAAAAACAGCCCAAACTCTCTCTAGGAGAACCCATACCACGGCAGTGTGGCCAATGGATCAATAGTTACTCTCCCCAAAGTATCCAAATGGCTCTTGATCCTCCAATAACTACACCAGGGAATCACTGAATCAACCAGATCTTTAAATACCGCTCTCTGAATTAGCACTCGACATTAGCATCACACAAGGTTCCTGAAACATACTGTTGTGCTTCTTTGCGGGGAAAATGTATACACATATAACTTTTACACAATAGAAGAAAAATGAACTGTTTATATGTGAATTATAATCTTGGGATCGATAGGTAGTCTATAATACTCATTTTTACCTGACAGCTGCATGCAGATGCATAAACAAATCTTTTTAAACTCTTTTCCTCTGCTTTTTAAAAACGTTATGAAACACGCTATGATTTACATGGGGGGAGGGACTAGAATACTAATAAGTTACATATCTGCGTTATTGGGCAAACTTTTATTAACAAATATTAGTTGAGATCACGAAAATTTTAAAAATATAAACTAAAACCTATTCTACACTAAAAAAAAATCACAAAACTAAATTTAAGGAAAGGCACTGTAACTTTAAAAGAAGCGGGAAGTAAGGAAAAAATTGAAATACAGTTTTAACACTTTAAAATTCATTTCAACCATTTATNGGAAGTAAGGAAAAAATTGAAATACAGTTTTAACACTTTAAAATTCATTTCAACCATTTATGTATAAAAGTGAACTATTTATATATGTATTATTCCCTCCCCACCACTAATTTTTCCCAGCATATTACACATAAGTATAGTAGGAAACAATTCAGATATGCAATATTCTCCCTGAGAAAATCACCAATACCCCAAGTTGGCTAGCACTCCCGAAGTTCTCTATGCATAGCTTTATCATCATACGTTGTGCTGAAAGGAAAACACCCTAAACTCTCCTGCCAGACTGCAATAGATTCTTACTTTTCTTTGTTTTTCCCTGGATAATGCCAGAAACACATTACTTCAATTTGTAAAAACAGTTCAATTTGTTGAGGAAAGAATGAATACGAAAAGTTCTTTAGTAACTTAAAAGATTTTACAAATGCTAAACAAGACCACAATGTGGAAATAAGGGAGGAAATTAAAGACTGAGGATTAGTAAAAGATTTTTAATGATGGTGAGCACGGCTTGGCAACATTAAACCAAGAATAAACTATACAATGTATCATCCAAACTGTGATAGGCCAGGACAACAGGGGCAAAGTGAGACCAAGCCTGGAAAACTGGGACACATGATTACTTATTATCTTTTGTTTTCCGTAAACTTTCTAGGCTTTATATGTAATCAGTTAATAGCACAGTGTGGCACAGAGTAAATGCTCAGTAAATATGGAAAACTGGGACACATGATTACTTATTATCTTTTGTTTTCCGTAAACTTTCTAGGCTTTATTTGTAATCAGTTAATAGCACAGTGTGGCACAGAGTAAATGCTCAGTAAATACCTGTTGAGAAAAACTAAGATTTCATTTCATTTCTCTGTTAATCAATAGATCCAGAGGTAAAGCAGAATTTATATTTCAGCATAATTACTTTACCAAGTGCTTTCCAACTGATTCATAGTTATCAGCACCATCTTTTGTTTGAAAACTCTAATTTAATATTTAGCATCTATCATTCTAATAAATCAATAGATCCAGAGGTAAAGCAGAATTTATATTTCAGCATAATTACTTTACCAAGTGCTTGCCAACTGATTCATAGTTATCAGCACCATCTTTTGTTTGAAAACTCTAATTTAATATTTAGCATCTATCATTCTAATAACTTCTTCTTTCTGCTTGCATTAATATCTGGAAAGTAACTCAATTTCTCCTTCATTACTTATTCTGCTTCACTGAAAAATCAGAGGGAACATTAATTTCATATTTTTTATGCATAGAAAGGACAGTCAGGAGGTTGATTTTTGATGCAATGTTTGTGTCTTGTATGTGCCATGTGCCTTTAAGCACATCACGGGGACAGACTGTAAGACATTTCTGCCCCTGCTTGAGCTCCTGTGGCTCAGGCTCCTGAGCTGTATGTTCTAGGGGAATGATCTCCAATTAACTGGGACATTCTAATTATGATATAAGCCTGAGGTAAATTCCTACACGTGATCTCTTTACTTCATCTTTATGCATTCTGTTTTGGGCTTGCCTCTATAAAAGAAATACCTATTGCGTGCTCTAAAATTCCCACTTCCTCAAAAGTTCTGATGCAGCTGTGCTAGCAGCTCAGTACTGACTTACCTTCCCAGCCTCTGTAAGAACAATCCTCTCTTACTGCTGTACTTTTAGTCAGACAGGAGAAGCATCTGAGGCCAAAGAGATGTCAACTCAAACGTCTTTTGCGTAACTTGAAATTAACGCATCCGGTAAGCTTACAATTTTTGATAAATCATCCTCAAATGAAATTTTTGTTTTTCTGGGTCTTTTTCTCTTCTCCATTACCAACTAGTCCCTTAGTCAATTGAGCAAATAAGAAGATGTCTTTCTAGAGGAGGACTGGTTACACCTCCAATTAGCATCAGTAAGCATTATAATCAGCAGCATTACAGAATCAGGAGGGCCCTATCCACTCAATTTACTAGTAATGATTTTTCAAATCCTTATTTAGCAACTTTTCAATAGTGTTTAAGGGTCACAAGTAAAGAGACAAGTTGTATCTGGAAAGCCATGGCCAGATTTTGTGACTGTTTCTGAAAATACTGATTTGGGAAAAATAATAAAAGGCACACAACAAAAACAAGTGGGTAAAGTTTTATGACTTACCTAGCAGAAAAGGTTTTATTTACCACTCTTAGTTTGAAATTTACCAAGTAATGGTGCCCAAGGCTAAAATAACAAATGGTGTGAACCAGAAGTTGCCTACTTCACATTAGATTGGTCTGTTTTGATTGTAGGCAATAAACAAAGGGAAAATTTTATAAGAGGTCCTGTTGATTAGATATGCTTGATACTTTTACAAAGTTTTCACTTCAAATATTACTTGGTTGGGAATAAATTAACATTTACACTAACCAATAGAACATCCTGATTCATTTTAAAATAAACATATCATACAACAACGAACCTTTACAATATATTCTATTAACATATCCATAAATGATGAATATGACAACTGCCTAAGTACATATTCATTAAATTCCTAATAATATTCCTAATAATTCCTAAGAATATTTAAAAATATATAAGAATGGTAAAAAGGACAAACATACACATTTCCGTTAATTTGAATGGATACAGAAATCATAGAACCTTCTTTTGACTTTAAGTATTTGATAAACAGTATTTTGTCTATATTTTTTTAAAAGTAACGTCAATGATTATGCAAGTTGTTTTCTATCTGAATTACATTATC